TGCAGTTTTTGAGTGGATGAGTGCCTCGCAAACAGTTTGCACATAACTTACGGTTTTCAAGCTGTTTTAGTCGGTTTTCACCAGAAAGTTTGGTGAATTCGTGACAATTTTGAATAAAGTGTCCAAATTTATTACAAAATATGCAGTTCTTTGTATCGCTGGACGTGTTAGCTTGGTAGGAATGCGTGTTTTTTGTCTCTCTACCAAGAGAAATTGTCTCCAGGAAGTCCGCTCTGCCCTTGAGGAAGGCTTCGAACTGATCTAGAGAAGGGACCTTATTTTCAGATGAGATTAGAGAGACCTTTCTTTCCTCCCACTCCCTGGATGTTGTTTTGTCTAGTTTTTGACCTAAGATGAAAATAAGGAGAGTGTCCCAATGTTCGACTGGTTGACCTAGAGCTTGTAAGGAGCGTAAATGTTTCGATAGGTTGTCGAGCATCTTGCGTAGTTCTGATGCCGACTCCTTTGCCATGACCGGTGAATTGAAAATCGACTTGACATGATTTTGAATAAGTAAGTTGTCATTATTGTAACGTTTTGTAAGAGTTTGCCATGCAGTATGGTAAGTATCCGCTGAAAATTCAATAGAGCGTATAATTTGCGCTGCTCCGCCCTCTAAAGCTGATCGCAAGTAATGGTATCGCTGTATGTTGTTTATCGAAGTGTTATTATTGATTAGAGAATCGAACGTGTCTCTGAACTCCAGCCAATTTTCGTAACTACCGGAGAATTTTGGCAATTTTATCTCTGGTAATTTGACATTAAACTGGTTAGAATGCAATTTTTCGAAGGATTTGATAGCTGGGGATGCAGGAAATCTGCCAGAACCCGTGTCCGTTACGCCACTGTCTACGGTGTAATAATCGGAGATAATTTTCTTACAAGGTGATATGAGACTATAATAAACTGATTCAAAGCTTTCTCTTTCTTGCAACTGTGCATCAAAATCATCTGAAGTATATTCGATGTCAGATTGTACTTGTTCAAATTCTTTAAACATTTTCTCGTATTTTTCTACCCGTAATTCTAATTCAATGATGAGAGTTTTGTCTAAAGCCTGTAAAGAAACATCTTGCATCGCTTCCTCTAGCTGAGTAATATATTTTTTGAATAAAGTGAGCTGTGCTTTAAACGCACCTCGTTTACGGATAAGCGTTCTAAGAGATGAATCTTCCATGTTTATGGAATGTCGAAATGTAAGCACGACGCACAAGAAAGGTGCGCGTAAGAACGTGTATGTATGAAATTTCAAAAAATTCACACAAGTTGGTGTAAATTGAAATCTAAGTTATACACCGTTTTTCAGGTAAGAATTAGGCAATTGAATGAATATGCATGAGAATATGCAGTTAGGCCTTTGGTAAGTATGAAGGTATGAAAGGAATGGGCTCACTGCGTAATCTCACTTTAGCTTGCAGCTGGATGTGTACCTTGGAATTCTGAGTGGAACGCCACTGTCTTCCTAGTTCACCGTGGTCCACACGTAGATTGGCCGGTTGAGTCAGCCGCCGCCGTTCGTGGTTCACAGCTGCGATGTTGCCGCGCTGCCTCCGCTGCAATGGCCGCCGTGTTGCTGCCACCTAACCTCACTTTCTGGACTTGTGAATTTGAGAATTTCGGCTGTTCTTCCAAGGGAATTCGACTTCTCAGGGTATTCACGGCACTGATTAGATATGACTCGAAGGACCAAAATGTTTTTTGTAATATTGCTGCTGATGAGAGGTGAATGAAGAAGGGAAACACCCGCTCAAAATGTACGTGTTTATTCTCGAAGGTCGTACAAGGAAGTCTGTCTTTCTTAATTGCAACGTCGCTTCTTTTCAGCCGCGCATGCGAATATAGCGGAAATAATTATAGATATTGTATACATAGAAAAAAGTTTTGAGGCGTAAACAATTATAACACTTGGAAATGACTAGAGCGAAAAAAGAGGAAACAAAATTTGTGATTTTTATCTCTAAGAAACAAGAATTCGTAACTCATTTTACCACTGAGTAACATCACCTCTATTTTTAATTACAGCTTCAATTCGTCGAGGCAAAGTATTTATTAAGTCCTGACACTCATCTGGAGTGAAATTATCCCAAATGTTCTGCAGTTTTTCCTTGAGTTCTTGCACGGCCCTGGCAGGATTGGCTCGCAGCCTCTTTTTCATGATGTGCCATAAGGTCTAGATGGGTGAAAGGTCCGGACTACTAGAAATCCATTCTAGGAGTGGCACTTCATGGTCTAAAAGCCATTTCATGGTATGGCAGGCAGCACCGTCTTGCTGGAGGATGAAGTCATTTCCAGAGATCCTGCTCTGCTCCAAAGTAGACCACAAAAATATCTCTAGGATCTCTAAATATTTATCTGAGTTAACAATGCCATTGATAAAATGTAATTTGCCAACTCCTCTTGCCGACATTGAAGCCCAGACCATTACTTAAGATGGAATTTTTACTTTGCACTTGAGACAATCATGATGATAAGTTTCATGTTTTTGGCGAATAACTCTGCTCCGATTATCTCCGACGCAAAGTTCGAATCGTGACGCGTCACTCCAGTGCACACGATTCCACCTCTCCATATCCCAATCGATTGTTTTTAGCCCATTTTAACCTGTTTTGCTTCTGCTTTAGGGTCAATAATGGTTTTTCTTTAGCTTGCTCCAAAGAAAACAATAATTATCTCTTGTTGCTTAGGATTGAAATCGTGAAAATTACCTTGTAAGTACCATAACCTAGTTTTCTTGCTTCTCAATGACACGTAGACCTGCAAACACGTCTTCCAACAGCTTCACTCCAGAGCACACTCAACTCTCCGTAGTTAGCACGTCTATTAGCCTTGATAATTCCGCCCAAAGCTCGTCTACCAGGGTCTGTTAATTTGGATTTTTTTACATATCTGGATTTTTGGGCAGTTGAACCATTTGATTCGTATAATCTTACAATATTTCGAACACTGTATATAGATAACCCGACCAATATTCCAATTTCACCGTTTGATTTTCCCGATTTATGCAAATTAATAATAATTGATCGAATATTTTCATCTATCGCCTTTCCTCTGCCCATTTTTGACAGCAACTACGAGGTAAGGCCGCCTGATAAACTAAGGTTCGCTAAAACAAGCGAGCGTCGTTGACAAACAAGCATTGTTGCCTCGACGGTCTTGAGAAATCATCGTCAGCAATATTTGGGTATTGAAGTTTTCTTACAGTTGTCCAGTTTTTATGACACAACATACTCTATTGAATCCATATATTTCCTAAATTGCTATAAATACCATATTTTGTCTTATATCTTACGATATCTTTTATATCTCCTATATTCTAGTGGGTTTTTTGCCGATAAAAGCCAAAAAAACTACAAATTTTGTGTGTAGCCCAACTGAAGCTGGACAGGGCTCGTATGTTTTCATCTTAAAAACTGTCTAGTCTGCAGGACGACATTCCGTCGTTTTTTGACGTTTTTTAGGTTTTTACATTATAGCCGTGCGGAGACCTGATCCTAACTGAATTGCGACCCTTGAAAGTAATTTTGATGTCGGCTTGCCGTCATATTATAACACAGTGAGTTCTTAGTGTATAATCTGATGATCCATCCACTACTATAAAAGATACCTGGTCTATGTGGTAACACAAATATTTATTCATTTCAAATAGGATCATAAAGGCCTCTTCAGAGGAAGACGATATGTAGCATACTATAGGATTTGGACCGCAACTTATTGAGGTACGGGAAAATTGGCTTTGACAGCTTGTGCGTCATCTTTCCATTTTTTTTCTCGCGTAAAGTATTTTGTGCTCTAGAAAGGCTCTGTAGATATAATTGGAAAAATCATAAATAACGTTTTAGTGACCAGAGGTGATATCAGTGGCTTTGGTTTGAGAGTGATACGCTCCTGAACTGCTCAAGAAACAATGCATGAGAATTCAACGTGCAGGGGAACAGTATTGGTGCTAAGCACTACTGAGTTATTCAGAGTAACTCAACAGGGTTACTGGAAAGCAGCTTGGAAACCATCGTTATTATTTTGACTCTACGCGCAAAACTGCCAGCAGTGAAAGTCGCAAAGCATCCCGTAGCTCTAACATAGAAGTAGTCATTCCAACCTTACAGTGTGCTTGTTACTTTGCAGAGGTTGTTCATATTATGCCAAGAAATACAAAGCATTTCATTAAAGGAGAAGGTGCATTTTCTAAAAAGGGAGCGTTTACTTTTCAACAGTTCTTGTGAATAACTATACCTCTGAGCCAGACTAGGTTAAGTCCAAATAAGTAGTTCTAAGATAATTGTACTTGAAATATTTTTCTTGCATTGTATTGTATGCGACTTGACATGAGTTAAAAATTCGTAACTTCCTTATTATTACAGACAGGTGGATGCTGCATGTAGCAACTGAAAATTAACAATATCATCATGAGCCTAACATATTGAACTCATTTTTGACAGAAATGGACTTAACCCAGTTTGGCTCTGGGGTACAGAATTATGCAATCTGCATTTGTCCGCGGTCGTTTGTTTGTATAAGCTCACCAACGTGTGAGTATTTATAATCTCTGCTCGCCCCTTTCAGTGTGACAGTTCTCTCGACATGTGCGTATCATTTTGAGTTTTCCTTTTATAAACTTGGGCACAGAGCAGCACCAATATTTACTGTTGACGATGTTTTGGCCACAACGGTAGGCTTTTTCAAGTACCTACAATTTGACAACTCTGAATAATTGTACTTAAAACATTTCAACATCGTCATCAGTAAACAGTAATTCAAACATATCTGTAGTTACATTCAGAGGCCAGCCAAACAAGGAGGATTAATAGCAGCACCTGAGCTGAAAATACAACCAACGACAGTATCAATAATTTTTGACAAGATTAGCAAAATGTCATAACAGTGTCGGAACTGTCAAGACGGATCATATGTATGGAGGCAAGGCGGCATGGAAATTAATTGTCGGGGTTGAAATCCAGTTTAGAATCAGTCTCTAGAAGTAGGGATTATTTAAATATACTCACATCAATGCTACTGTATACATCACAACAGATTTCATAAAGTGCCTGTTATTGTCGTTGAGATTATTGACATCTTCAGGTTCTCTCAAAGTCTCGTAGCCATCGCCATATCTACCTAGCAGGCCACAATAGAATAACATACAAGACATTATTCCTATGAATGTTATGATTAGGGCTATTTCCTGCAAAACATGTTACAGTGAATTTTGTCCTCACCTGGCGGAAATCATAGTAAAAATAATCATATATTCCAATACATTGTTCCTGCTTAAGATAGCAACATACACTTTGACGAAACTGGTATCAAACATCCAAAGTCTAGATATGGTTGGAAGATTTTCTTACAAAAACTAGTTATTTTCAAATTTTAACAGTCCATTCCCTGATCCAGCATATTCTTTTTTTAACAATTTGGAATGGAAAATAAACGAACTGTTGAAACAGGTCACCAGTCATGCTTGCCTTCAATTGTCGGCGATGGTTTCATGTAGCCATTGGGATCTCGGAAACTGTAAGAGATAGGAAGTTGCTTAAATCAGGTTCAAGTTGCGTATTTAGGTAGTCAACAAAATGTTGCTTATAAAATAAATTCAAAGTCCTTCCAGCGAAAGACAGAGAAAACCTAATTTTCCTAAAATCGTTTTATTCTTTTATTTGTAGTGGGATTTCAAAATAAATTGCACATTAAGTGTCTCTTGTCCTCCAGCATCAACTTTATTATTTATTATAGACACCATATTGGATTTTTGCACAAAGGAATACAGTTTTCAATTCTGATTAAAAAAGTGTAAAAAATTAACCTAAAATCACTTTTATTTTTTCCTGACTTCATTTGAGATGAGATTTCAAAATATTTTGCATGTTAACAGTTTTTCTCCTTTACAACATGGCGTAATTAGAATTTCATTGTGACGTTTCGTCTCTCGTTCTCTAGCATCAACTTTATTTATTCTCAAGGACGTCATATTAGGTTTTTAATTCTGATTTCAACAACGTATAAAGTAATACAGTGACATTGCCAAACCTTCGTATGTCTTACAGTTTCCGAGATCCCAATAATGACGATCGAATTTGAAGAATAATAAATAGTCCAACAACTTAAACTTGTCTTCTTTTTATGCACAATATGTGGGTGATGCCATTACCTTGAATTTGTAAAAATCCGCAGGGCCTACGGCTTGAGATTCTACATTCTGTTTCAAAATTAGCAATGTCACCAAGTATACGGTCATATTGCAGCATACGGATGCAGTATATCTGAAATAAAACTTTTTTTATGATAGGGCCAACCAGCTTATAATCCCTCACAAGATATGATCAGCAGACCTCATACTCGTAACTCGTTTGGTACGAAAACTCGTACTTCAGGTTACTAGATCTGAATCAAAATTTTTCCTAAAAAAATTGCGATGAAGACAATAAGTGTATGTATTTTTTTGTGGGAACATACCTATATAACATGTATATCTTTTAAAAAAAATGGCCGCATTGAATAGAACAGACTATTATAAGTGATAACACGGTGGTACCGATTTTTAATTGATTTCTTTTTAACCACGAATCTGGCCAGTTCCAACCCACGTGAAACTTTAACCAAATGAAAGACTGAAACATTGAGTTTTGTCGATCCGGGTTCAAGGTACCTATCAGAGATCTTGACATTTCTTGAGGTTCTATGCTGCTATGCATATCACTTAAAAATTTTTTTATTAATTTGAACATTAATTTTAATTCCTTATAAAATCAGATACTTTTTCAGAAGGACGTAAAGAAAAGTTCAACCATGTTTTCATGTTATTTTTTCATACTTTATTCAGCATTAGTCTTTGAAAGTATTTCTTTTATTTTTTTATTTATATCAACGTAGAAGTTTACATTTTCATTAATATACTCCACTCAGCCATTTTTTTACTAGTCTAAAGTATCACATTCATCTTGAAACAATTTAACAGAATAAAGAATAGTTGCCGCGTCTATGTGGATGTTATACAGGATGTTCTGTACTTAAACGGATATAGTATGTTATATCTGGAAGTTTAGTTTTTACTTGATTTGTCTAAGCGCGCCAAATCTTTAATATATCTCAGGCACTGTTAAACCGGTTTTTTTTTGTTTGGTTAATAACAAAGTTACTAGACGGACGCAAAATCTTTTTTATCAAAATCAACACCTTTCAAGCTGAACTTTGAAATCTCCGCCTATGTACAAAAAAGCAATTGAGTGGTGCTAATTAATCAGCAGAATAGATCGATTGCGCCTCTTTCATTTTTTGAGTTAGTTATTTATTCAGATATCTTATTTTTAGCAGTTCATGTGACTCAGGACTCAAAATTTCAAGGATTATCGACATGTTATGTAATTAAATCTAACGTAGAGTTTGGGATCATTCTCACCATAATCTTCAGTTGATCTGGAGAGTCAAATTCAGTGCATTTGCATACTAAATGCCGTTTTTATCTTCAAAGTAGGATTCACGTTGTTGTGTAACATCAGTTAGTAGAATGGAATCATTAAAAAATTGCTGACAAAACTAAATAGAGTGTAGAGCATTAAAATTACTAACAATATTAAACATATCAGGTGTCAGTGACAAAATCATGAATTTACTCTTACAACCTAGGTATACAGGGTGTTTCAGTTTGTTGTTGCATAACTTTAAGATTCGATAGCACTTTTAAAATTAATGCATAAAGTCTATATAAACATGGGTCGAAAAATGCGTGGCTTCGAAATACAGGATGTTTAAATTTACTTTTTAAAATAGTTTTTTTTTAAATATTTCGAACAGTATTTGATGTATAACAGTGAAAATTGGTATACAAGGGTTTTTTGGTACGATAAAACGAACCATGGGCATAGTTTTACTGTAGCCGCTAGAGGGCGCTCTCTACTGTACCTGTAGTGTATTAAAATGACCGAAAATTTTTTCTTAGTGCAATTTTTTGCTTTTTCAATAAAAAAACTGATTCTTCGCACTTTCATGCATAAAAAAGCTCTCTTGTGAGTTTTCGTTATAGTCAGCCGTTTTTGTCTTTTTTTTGTACATTTTCGATTTGGGCATTACAAGTAATTAAGATGATCGTTTAGATTGTGTTTTTAAACACAGCAATAATTCCTAACTCCAAATAAACACAAAAAAACAGAATATTAATTTGTTTAATTTTCCAATATTATTTTTAACAAATTAAATTAATTATTTACAACTAAAATGCTATTGGATAGTTAGGACAAATATACAAAATCTAAAGTAGTTGCTCGAAATGTAAACCTAATTGTTCAATACACAATTCACATCTACGAATGATCGAACGTGGTATAGCATTATTCAAATAAGGCCTTATTTCATCATGCATTCCTGATCCTGTCTATTAGCATATCTCTTGTGGTTACGGGAGTCTGGTACACTTTTTCTTTTAGAAATCCCCACACAAAGAAATCTAATGGATTTAGGTCAGGGGATTGTGGAGGCCAGGCGACTGGTCCTCCACGGCCGATCCATCTTTCTAGATAATTTCCGTCCAGCCAGTTTCTAACTATTCTCGAATAATGAGCTGGACAACCATCAAGCTGGAACCAGGCCAATCTTCTTAAATCTAATATAACATCAACCCACATATTTGCATGTTCAGCCTTTTAAAATTCCAAGAAGGTCGCAGCATTTAACCTTGCAGGCAAAAGGTAGGGTCCAAATAGTCGATTACGGTAGATACCAATCCACACGTTCGCACTAAATTCATGCTGAAAATTTCTTTCCCGAACTGCACGCGGATTTTCATGCGACCAAATATGTTGATTATGAAAATTTACCACTCCACGTCTAGTGAAGCATGACTCATCGGTCCATAAAACGTTACTTAAAAACTCCCTATTATTATCAGTTCTATCAAGAATCCACTGACAAAATGTGATTCTTCGTTCTCCGTCCCCTGGCTGTACTCCTTGCACAGGTTGCAAATGGTAAGGAAGTCTATGGTCATTTCTAAGAACACGATGAACATGGCTTGCTGAAATTCCCAAGGCACCAGAAACTCTCCTAACACTTGTGGTCGGATCTCTATCAAATTCACGCAGAATCATACGGGTAAATCTGCGCCCTTTGGAGATTTCCAAAACCATTTTCAATTATTTGGCGATGCACTCTTACAAATACTGAGCGAGTTGGATGTCGTCTGTTTGGAAATCTTCGTGCGTATTCTCTGGCTGCTTCTGCTGCGTTTCCATTTACAAAGCCATACACAAAATGAATATCCCCTAACTCTTGATTGGAGAATAAAAATGGCATTTTTATAAAACTTACAAAAAAAAAACAGGTAAAAGAAACTAAATTTCGTGCATTCACAATTGCAAAAAAACGTTTCAGGTTTCAACAGACAACAAAACTAACTGTCAACTAATTGACGTTTAACCTTATTCTTTCAATTTCAAAAATATTTGGAGGCACAGTCTACTTCTAAAAATTATCGAGATACTGACTTTTTAACGTTATTTATCATAAATAATTAAAAACGCATCGAACCTTAAAAATCGAAATATCTCAAAAACGGCTAACTATAACGAAAATTCACAAGAGAGCTTTTTTATGATGAAAAGTGCGAAGAATCAGTTTTTTTATTCAAAAAGTAAAAAATTGCACTAAGAAAAAATTTTCGGTCATTTTAATACACTACAGGTACAGTAGAGAGCGCCCTCTAGCGGCTACAGTAAAACTATGCCCATGGTTCGTTTTGTCGTACCAAAAAACCCTGGTATACCAATTTTCACTGTTATACATCAAATATTGTTCGAAAGTATTTAAAATACGATTTTTCATTTTAGCACAATAATAATAATAATAATTATAATCATAATAACAGCAAATAATAAACAATAGAAAATTTTAAGAAGATGTAAGTGATTTAATTGATATCATTCATAATCATTACAAAATGCAATGTAAGATCATATTATCTATATTTTGTGCCGTTCGTTATACCTGCTTTATTGATGTGTGTTTTCAGCCTTTGTTGTAAGTGAAACTGCTTAAAATTTGAGGATCGAATTTGTGATTGGCACTTTTCACGAGAAGTTGTAAATTATCTTTTTGTGGTCTATTTATCACGAATAACCCCATTTGGTCTTAGCTCTTTTATTATTTACCGTTCTACCGCTGCTATTAGTCTAATCATATTAGTCAAAAATACCCCTGGTTTGTGAAATAATTGTAAAGTCTGGTTTTATTGCTGCAAGTTGTTCAAGGAGGTATTGAAAACATGGACGCATAAGGTGGGTACACCAATTTTTGTGGGAAAACTTTTTATTCGATAACAAAGAATGAGAAAACATGATTTTTGGGATTCAATCGAAAGTTTAGACAGGAACGAAAACATTCTTCTTAAAAGATTTGTAGCTATTTATGGGACCTACAAGACGAGGCCACACGTAAAAAGATCCGACTAATAGCAAAAAAGTTATGGCCGAAAACCGAGGCAAACTGCAGGTCTTGGCACTTCGTAATGCGACGATGGTTTCTCGCAGATATTTGAAATTCTTCAAATTCGCAGGATTCGTCCTTCTAAGTATCCAACAAAATTTTAGTAGATTGGTCAAGTAGTTTTTCAGAATTTCTGATTGTTTATTCCAAAACACCTGTCTTCCGGCCATCACTAGGTACTAGTTTATTGAACACTGTGCAGGGTTAGTTCAAATGACAATTTACAGCCAAGCACACTAGTTTATCTTGCAGATATGAAACGCAAACCATTCCGAAAGATAAATGTTATTTTTATGCGAAAAAAGGATGAGTTACGTTTTTTCTTCTAAACAAATTCAAACATTTCGTATTTAAGAATAATTCTCAACAAAAGATGATAGACACATCCGCTTTGTTTTAAAATGTGTATAGTAACGAATGTTTTTCGAATATCGTAGCGCATTTGTTTCATTACTCACAAATACGAAATGTTTGAATCTGTTTAGAAAAAACGTAACATTTGTTTTTCGCATAAAAATAACATTTATCTTTCGAAATGGTTTGTGATTCATATCGGCAGGGTAAACACGTCTATTTTGCTATTAAATGCTCTTTGGACGAACCCCTGTATATTGCTTAATAAACTAGTAGTGTTGGCCGTAAAACAGGTGTTTTGAGATGAACAATTAGAAATTCTCAACTTCGAAGTTGAGTCATTTATTTTAGATCTGATCAAAAGAAATGTTTTTTTCCTTTAACATTTTTCTGGTAAAATTAAATTAACAAAGTTATAGCCCTTTAGAAGTTTGAGTACCGCCCTGTCTCAATAATAATATTATGTGCTCGTGTTTGGCAACAACGGATATAATCCGCCTTATCTGTTCATCGCATCGGAAACAAAAAAGCGAAAGAATTTGAAACGTTTATCACGATGTCAGTCAATGTTTCAGTCGGTAACGCGTGAGTGAATAGTGGTGTTTGTTGCGTGGCTCAAACGAAATAAAAAATGGCACATGTTTACGAAAATGCTGAACTTGTGGACATGATTCTTATTTAATCGAGTGCAACCAACCCCTCGTGCCTTTGTTAATGTAGTACAAAGGGCTCGTGAATCAGGTGACTTAAGACCTCACAGGGGAGGGCATGCCGGTGCTCCAAGACTGCACGAACAATTACAGGTCCGCACTGAAATACTTGTCGGGAGGATACTTTATAAAACAAGGTAACATTTTTTTTTAATTTTTTTTTTATTTTTACACACATATTTTGGTTTATCTTCCTTCTACAATCATTATCTGAAAATTAATGACTCCACTTCAAAGTCATAATCCAATTTTGTTGTTATTCACAAGTATAAATTCTACGGATTTGAAGAATTTCAAGTAGTTGCGTGAAATTATCGTTGCATTACCAACAAGTGCCAAAAGCTGCATTGTGCCTTGTTTTGCGGTCACAAGTGTTTTGCTATTAGTCGGATCTTTTTACGCCTCATTTTGTAGGTTGGATAAATACTTAAAAATCTTATATAAAAAGTTTTTTTCATTCCTGTCAATAGTTTCGATTGAATCCCATCATTATCTGTTGTCAAATAAAAAGTTTTGCCACAAAAATTGGTGAACCCATTTTATGCGTCCATGTTTTAAATACACCCTTGAACAACTTGCACCAATAAAACCAGACTTTACAATCATTCCGGGGAAATTTGACAATATGATTAGACTATATATCCATCGAATCCAGTTTGTTCTAAGAATAACGTAATCGCACAGCAGTTAGATTATACAAATATGTCTTGTGTCTCAGTTCAGCTTAAATAGTTTTGAATTCGTGTCACGTTTTTGATTTCCTGACTAGTTGCAAATTTTATTTTAAGCGGTACTACAGTTCCACAGATTATAAAATAAAGCTACATCAAGCATACATCATATATACACCCCCGTGTCGCAGATCACTGCATATTCTATTCGTGTTTGACCTGAATGCCTTGTTACGGTATGTCGAGTTGCTTATCCATATAGCCAGTATGATTTGTTGGCTGTGGAAACCAAGGTCAATGTTGGTCCGATCTGTGGATGCGACATTATAGGCCCTCTACACGTATTGCAGCCAAAACAAAGACATAGGTGGAAGGATGATCGTCCGTTTTTTCAAGGGAGTGGGAATCATCGACAAAAGATACCTGCTCCCAAAGATTTTCTCAAGGGGGCCCCAAATTGTAAGCAAAATCATGTTAAATATGTACATCTTATTGTCCAACTGGATTTTCAGAAGGTCACACGCCTATATGTGGGAGCCTTACGTACCTTATTGCAGTGAGGTCAGAGCTATGAGCGTGGCTCTGTGATATTTCCGGAATGAGTGACAAATGTGATATTTGCACTATTGCCCAACCAATCTGAAAAAGCGTTATGTTGAGCATGTAGTACATCAGAATGTCCGAATCGACATCAATAAACTTCTTGGAGAAAATCAGAGAAAAGCCTAATGCCACTGCCATGCTGCCTAAAAACAGAAACAAATGCGGTAAATCAGCTTCAACTTATATTTATCTTATAATTGCTAAATCTATTCGGGAGGTACACACAAAACTAGTCCAACAGAGGTTTTCATAATGTCATGTGTCTAATTTTGCTCCTTATGAGATACTATGCAGAAATGGTAATTATGAAAAAAGGATTTTCCAGGAAATGTTGTAAATCAAAAAGCAGAATAAGGCAGTAAACAAAAGAACAGACGTAGAACATTTGAGTGTTATGTACTGAAACATCATTAATTTAATTAAACAAAATAACCACTATCACATAACATTGATCAACAAAAAGGCAAAACATCAAATATAACAAAAAATAGCTCAAAATTTCACTATTTAGAAATACCTTTCTCCTTAATTTTTTTGTTGAGCTCTGAAAAAGGTAATGTATTTTTGCGATACGACGGCAGCTTCACAACAGGAAACTCTATTTCTTTAGACCCCAAATTCGATTGGTTAAAAGAAATCAATTTGTTATTACTAAAAGGTTTATGAGAGCTAAAAAAAATATTTCAAAACCTTGTGCGTAGCTTCTAAAAATTATCAAACATCTGTCCGTGCAAAAACAACTATTTTGCTTTGAACGGGCTTTAATATGGCAGTTTAAAAATGTTTATGTGTTGTGTTTGCCAACACATTGTACTTAGTAAAATAAACGTTATAACTATTACTATTATTATTATTATCGGAAAAATGCAGGCAAAAGACGACGGAAATCAGAAAAATACTATAAAAATGTTGTCGACGCCTATTTATGTTGGTTTGTTTATCAAGAATCGGTATCTAAAACTTTACACTCAGGCTAGATCGTGAAAATACATAATAATTCGAAAGTACTTCCATCATGTCTACCCACGAAATGCTTAATGCATTTATAATTATCGTATTTAAGTTACGATTATAAATTTTCCTTTTTACAATATGTGTATAATTTTTGAGATAAAGCTTATTCCCACAAATGAAAGAAGCAGAATGACTAGTGTAAAAATGATATTCCAAAACGAGATTCATTTCTTAAAACTACTATACCGTGGGAATGTCCAGACCTATATGTACATAATGACATTGATCATGTTTACGACGAAATTCTTTGTAAATTCTGCTAAATTTGCTTGATTTGAAAGTCATAGGTATTACCAACCAAAAATGAACTGGTTTTAAAAATTCTACAGGTACATATAGTTGTTAGTTTTAATGTAAGACACTATCATAAGGTATTTGTTCTTGACTGTGATGCACAGCATATACATATTTGTTCCAATTTTGTTGATGTTAAGTATCTGTTTTTCATCAAAAAACAGTTTTCTCTCACCCGAAAAATGCCATATTTTCCTCCTACCAGTGCAGTCTATTAACCATCCAGCTAATGGAGTAGCTAAAGCGTCTACCACCTGACCTGCAAAACATTCTATTCATCAAAAATATACATTCAGTTTGAAACACTTCAACGAGTATTAGTGTATCTTTTCTTTTCACCGAAGAAGTCGCGTAGGCAGAAACCTAATTAACGAGACACCGCAACTGCTATCAGGAACTAAAAAACGCCTTATCAATCCGATATTTCAACTACCTAAGCTTAGCAGAAACTGGTAAAAACCTCCTCAGGCTGATTGTTCCACAATCTCGACGCCCTAGGAGTCAAGGAGTGCGGATAGCTCCGAAGAGCAAAGCTCGTTGGCATAGCTGTAGAAGAGAGCAAGATCGCTGTCCGCCAATCGATGTAAAAGGGTCCCGAGACTGTCCTTCAGAAAAGTGCCATTAATTAGTCGATCAGCCGTTTCTGAACAGCATCTAGGAAGCAGTGTTGTCAGTGCGGCAGAACTCCAAACATGTTAGCAGTACTAGAGGCTAGGTATTATCTGGGCCTTATAAAGACTGAGGAGGTTGTGCGACGAGGCAGAACTTAGCTATCCATCGAAACTGGATAAGTGATAGGGCGCTTTTTGTTAGACAAGGTGCAGTACTGTGTTCTGGAAGCATTAAACTGTACCAGATTGTTGCGTCCCCAAGCAGTGATTTTTTAGATTTCTCATCAGGAGGAAGTCGTTACAAGCGTTCTCTTGATCTAATCAGCAGATACCGTCTTGCCACACAGAATGCCTGCATGTAGAGCGCCGTGGACAATGTTGGGGCCGATCCCTGGAGAATACCCGAATTAATATTGTGGTACGAAGAGGAAAAACCGTCAATTTTTACAGATATCTTGCGGCTGGAGAGGAGGTCAGCCACCCATCTGCAAAGCTTCTCCGGGGGGTCATAGGTTAGAAGCTTGCATAAGAGGGCAGAACGCCACAGCTGATCGAAAGCTTTCACGATATCAAGAGCAATGATAATTCAAGAATTCCATCCATTCTTTTACTCCGTTAACACTGCCTGTTTCAACTTACCAGTCATTAGCAAGATTCCAGCAGTAGTAGCCTCCATCTTAAGAACAACTTGGAAGTAAAAAAGTGTGTAGGAGAACCACATCGCTGCACACAAATCATTGAACACATGACCTAAACCATAACTCAGTTTTTGACAACATATACACATTTGATTTGGAGTATCTTCCGAATTCATATTTGCTGATTGTTTAAATTTACTATGAACCATACGTTATATGAGGAACCACAAGTAGTTCATTGCATGAGAGACCAATGACTGCAACTTTACTGGCGAGATTCTTGTATGGTTTCTTCAAATTACAGACTGTTGTAACCCAATATCTAGTATCGACATCGCATCCATTTCACAAGGGCTGTGCGAGCAAATACAGAAAGTAGAACGGTATCTTTACGTACCGTTCAGCTAACGATTTTTTTCAGGAATAAATAAATACATTACATGGTTGGTCTTTCCTTAAATGAATTTTTGCTCAAAGTTCCGAAGCTTTCGTTCCATCAGCGTCTTTTAAAAGCATGGATAACTTGGTAAATATTTGAATTGATCTTTTCAGAAGCATTGGTTACACAATTTACATTCCATTTAGAGGTACTGGATATTTGGAAACATAATATCATTAAAATGAGCACGTTCTCTATTTTTAACGAGTAACTCGAAAAACATTACATTTTGTAAAAAAACTACCTGTTACAAAAAAGTGATAAGGCCAAAAAGTAAAAGCAGGGAGAATTATTCTTTAGGTCAGGGTTGTCCAACTTAATGTGGCCCAAGGGCAACTTCAAAAAAAAATGCAGTTTGGAGGGCCGCATTATAAAATCTTTCTATACAACATTATTACTGAGTTTTAATAGGTATATTATAACGTACTATACTATATGGTATACAAAAATAGTTTTTCTATTATTTTCATTTATTCAAAAAATATGAAATTACAAAAAAATCAGTGGGACATTTGAGGATGTTGGTTTTCTAATACTAATGCATCAATATTAACATTAATATTTGTTGTTGATAAACGAAGTAACTGAGTAAGTGACTTATCAGAGAGGGAACATCTATACTTTGACTTGATAAATTTCATGTTGGAAAAGCTGCTTTCGCAAAGATAGGTGCTTCCCATCATTGATCCCATTGTAAGTCCTAAGTTTCGCAAGTTGGGGTATCGTTCTCCTGGCAGTAACTTAAAAAAGTCCAAGCCAGTTTCAGTTCTTCCTTGGTAAAAATGATCTGATTGCAAATCACACAATTCCAGTTGAAGGTCTGCTCTGCTTACGTTCTCAACAGAAATTGTTAGTGGCTGAGAAAAAACTGAAATGTCGCTTTCGATTTTTTTAAAGTCACTAAATAGATTTTTGAATTCTTCTGCAATTGTGTCAATGTATTTTATATGAGGTAAATATGAAACTTCCTCAAAATCCTTCATTTCTTCGAAATGTTCTTTACAACTTTGAAAAAATGAAAAATCATTTTTTTGTAATGAAGACTTGAAAAGTTTAATTTTATTCTTAAACCTATTTATGTGTCCAAGTAATGGCAATATTCTGCTGTTTTCCTTGTAGCTTCAAATTCAATTCGTTAAGGTGAGATGTCATGTCTGTTGAAAATGCAAGGTCTGCTAAAAATTGTGCATCTGCCATTTGCTTTTCCAGTTCCGTAGTATCGGACTTCACTTCATTTTTAAGGAAAATAGGAATCGTTGCAAACACTTTCCGGCGCTTAACCAACGAACATCGCTGTGAAGTAACAAGTCCCCATATGTAGTATCCACTTCGGCCAAAAAATCACGAAACTTTCTGTGAGTCAAAGCACGATTGCCCCCTCTAACAATATCAGTTATTTTAATAGCCACTTTCATGACATTTATTTGACGTAAAGATTTTCCACATAAGCTCTCTTGGTGAACAATACAATGTATCATAGGACAGTTGATGCTGTTTTGTTTCAATAGTCCAACAAATCCAATTTCAGTCCATGTCCTAGCTCTGGCGCCATCAGTGACAATACAGGAACATTTATCAAATCGCCCGTAGTCTGACACCAACTTATTCACAGCTTCAAAAATATCTGTACCCTTGGTTGTACCATGGAGAGGAATAAGGTTAAGCATCTCCTCTGCTACGCTGAAGTCGTCTTGAATAGTTCGGATAAAAATTACAAGCTGGCTAATGTCAGACAGATCAGTGCTTTCATCCAGGCATAGCGAAAAATATTTACATTTTTCAACCACGTCACGCAATTTTTTGGATACATGTTCATTGATATGGTCCACCCCACCCGTCTTGCAATTGTTTGATGCGATACTGAGACTATTTCAAATTTTTCGGCAACTTTTAATTCATTGAATTGTTTCGCCATTTCTATTGCACACTTTTTGATAAGCACTCCATCACTAAAAGGTTTTTTGCTTTGGCAATTTCCAGTGCTATTTTGTAAGAGGCGGCAATACTGCACTTGTTATCAGAGTCAGATTTTTTGAAAAAACGTGTTTGTTGTTTTAGTTTTTTCTTGTATACCGTTATGATAGCCTGCCTCGAGTCCCCTAAATATTGCCGAAACGTTTTGTAACGTAGTGTAATGTCGTTTCACATTATATTCTTTAGGAACCGATAGTACTTGCATACAAACAATGCACTGAAGTTTATTATTATTGTTTGAGATTAAATATTCTGATTCCCAACGGTCATTATAAACTCGGTGTTCGTTCGTTATTTTTCGTTTCTGTGAAGACATATTTCACGGAGTATTTCACTTAAAAAGGCTTTAGAGTTGCTGTGTACTGAAACGCACTAGCACTAGCACACACACTTTTTTTTTTCTTTTTTTTTTTTTTGGTGAGGGGGGAATGCGTTTACGCACCATACCATAGCCGCCCGAGCTACGGCGTGTGTGGGACTCCAGGTTGTCCACCTAATACCCACTAAACCCTAAACCTCCGCGTGGCCCGACTCATCAGCGTCTCGGTAGGCCATGTGTTGTGCGTGACCTGTGGTCTGCTACAACGTCTCCTCATGTGTTTCAGTCTCTGGGAACGCCGGGTTGGTTCCCTTTACCTCGCACATTCTATCGATGTCGTTAAGCGATCATCGATAGAGGGTCTGCTAGGTTCTCTTGAAACTGTTGTTTTCGGAAAATCAAGAGTTTCAAGTCCTCTTACCAATATGTTGTTCCTGGTCCTGGTCCTGAAGGGTCCTGGTCCTGGTGGGTCCTGGTCGTGGCGGGTCCTGGTCCTGGTTGGTCCTGGTCCCGGTGGGTCCTGGTCCCGGTGGTTCCTGGTCCCGGTGGTTCCTGGTCCTCTGCATCCACGCCGTGGGGGGGGGGGGGGGAGCAACCGCGGGTTCTCCTAGTCTCCTAGTCAAGGTTCCAGTTAGCGGGTGCCAACTGGGACCTTGGTCTAGGGTACCTGGTTCTGCGGTTGCGAGGCCTCTTTCTCCGGATCGTAGTCCATGAGAGATCGTAGCTGCTCGTTCGGGTGGTCCTGAGCTTTCTCGAAGGTCTTCTCCGCTTTTTTCCTCATGTACTCGTGGATGGTGTCCCAATGCAGGTCTCTACGCAAGGTTGAGTTTCTTACGTAGGATGGTGCACTGGTGACGATCCGGAGTAGCTTCATCTCTAGAGCAGCAAGTCGCTTGCGATAGCTGGGGGCAGCGTACCCCCAGACCGCGGAGGCGTAAGCGAGCTGAGGTCTGGCGATGGCCTTGATCAGCCGTAGCTTGGTCGCTAGCGGCATCCGGCTGTGTCTACCCAGTGATGGGTAGAGTTGAGCCATGGCTGCTCTGGTCTTTGCGATGACAGCTTCTATGTGGGCTTTCCAGGTGAGGGACTTGTCAAATACGATCCCCAGATATTTGACTTTGTGGCTCCATTGGATATCTTCGTCGAAGATGGATGCTTCGAGAGGTCTTGCAATCCTTCTTCGTTGAATGAAGATTGCCTGCGTCTTCTGGACGTTGATGCGGATTTTCCATTTCACGCACCAGTCCTGAATGTGGTCCAGTTCATCCTGAAGTCTCCTACGGATGATCTCGGGTCGTCTATGCTTGGCGGCTATAGCAGTGTCGTCTGCATATAGGGCCAGCATTGTGTCAGCTGTCTTCGGCACATCGTGAGTATAGATGTTGTAGAGCAGGGGGGCTAAGGCTGACCCCTGGGGCACGCCTGCTTCCAGCTGTCGTCTTGTTGAATGGCATGTACCAATCTTCACCGTGAACCATCTTTGTGTTAGATAGCTCTGGATCAGTTGGCAGATGTTCGCATCGATTCCGGCGGCTTCCATTTTGGCGATGAGTCCATCGTGCCAAACTCGGTCGAAGGCTCGTTCCACGTCCAGCAGGACGAGACCGGTTGCCTCCTGGAAATTGAAGCCGCTGGTGATGTTTTCTGTCAGTCGTAGCGCTTGGAGTTCCGTGTTGTGAGAGGATCTGAAGCCGAATTGCTCTGGGGGGAGAAGTTGCAGTTCTTCTGCCTGCTTCTCTAGTCGAACGGCGATAGCCTTTTCGACTACTTTGCCCATCGAGGAAACCAGGCTGATGGGCCGGTAGTTCTGGGGCAACTTCCGGTCCTTGCCTGGCTTGGTGAGCATTATAACCTGGGCTTCCCGCCACCGCCGCGGGAAGTGTTTAAGCCTCAGAGTGGCATTGGCGATGTTGGTGAGCGCAGCAAGGTTTTTCAGCATCCTGTTGTTGATGCCGTCCCTTCCCGGCGCCTTTCTGACCTTCAACCTGCGGATGATCAGACGGATTTCCTCTGGACTGGAGGGATGATCCGTCTCCTGGCCAGGTGGTCGACTCCTCATGATTTCGGCTGCGACTTCCACGGCCTCCTCGTGGTTGTCGTCCTCGTCTTCATGGTAATTGAGTCTGCATTCGGATTCTAGCAAATCGGCGAATGCTTCGGCTTTTTCTTCACTGGAGTAGGCCAAGCCGCGTTGGCCGTGAAGAGTGGGGATCGTGGTGCGCTGACGACGAAATTTTTGCTGCATAGTCCAGGCCGTACCATCCTGGGTCTCTAGTTCTGCACAGGCTGCATTCTATCTGCTGTTTTGGAGTTCCGCGAGTGCGTTCTTCAGGGCTAGCGATGCTCTGTTTCGCGCAACTCTCGACTCCTCTGTCAACAGTTGGAGATGTTCTCGCTTGAGTCTTCTGTTCTCCCTGATCAGGTGCCTAATATGGTGCGGTGCTGGTGTCTAGGAAACTGCCGTAGTCTCGGAGCGGGTGCTGTCCTCGTGCGCTCGCAGGACAGCATTCTCCAGCTCCTCTA